TTGTGGCAATGGAGACAATTTGTGCTTTGCCTTTGAGGGACTCTCCCTACTAGACAAGGAACTGCAGCAAAACACGCGAAACACCCCCGCCCTCGTGGCGTTGGGGGCATACCGACGGCTCTCGCCTTTGCTTTCCTTAATAGTTCTCCAAAGGTCCTCCTTTCCTTTTGTTCAAGCAACGAGGGCCCCCGCTCCCTCCCCGTAACAGCCGCGTGTTTGTCTTCTCATGATGTCTAAAACCCGTCTTTTTTGTGTCTCGTGCATTTGCCTCTCTCGAGCGCGCTCCTCCCCGCTAGCTAATGCTATGAGACAGCGCGTGCGTGTGTGTGTGTGTGTGTGTGGCTGTCCACCAGCTCAGACGGACCCCCTCTTCCTGACTGTCATTCTGGGTTTCAGAGAGTGCCACATACAGAGCCGTGGAGAGTTTTGGACAGACAGTCTCTCTCTCACACACACAGACACACACACACACACACACACACACACACACACACACACACACACACACACACACACAGAATACCTTGCGGAGGAGGGCAACAGATTCGGCGAGAACTTGCTCACAGACAGAGAAGAAGCCTGGGCGACCGTCGTGTTGCCGCTTCACGGCATCCATCAGCACAGCACGCGCCTGGCTGAACGGGTGGATCTTTGCCCTGTTGTGCGTGTGGGTGCGTGCGTGTGTGCGTGAGAGGTGAGGAGAGAGAGAGAGAGAGAGAGAGAGAGAGAGAGAGAGAGAGAGAGAGAGAGAGAGAGAGAGAGAGAGAGAGAGACAGACAGAGAGAGAACAAACATCTTCCCTCCCCACACTCCATGACACACACACACACACACACACACATCTCACCTGTGCAAGATCTCTGCGCGGAGATAGTTGCCCATGCCGTTGAAGAAGCTCTGATTCATCATCAGCTCGCAGATGGGGCGTGCAAACGCGCGTGATGGAAGGTGCAGTTGGATCTTCTGTACGACGTCATCGAGCTCTTGAATGATGCACGGCCCTCTCGTATCGTCATCAAGTCCCCACGCACCACCAGGCCGCCAGCACCCAAACCTGCAAGTGTGCGTGCGTGTGTGCGTTGCAATTGCGTTGTGAGTGGGAGTATTTGAGTTGTGACCTGCAGCATACGTCACTCACACACGCACACACACGCACGCACACACACACACACACACACACACACATGCACCTTCGAACGTCTTGGAAGTATAGGACGTGGCCCGAGGGAGAGTGGAAGCGCAGGTGTGCGTGCTTTGGCATCTCTTCTCCAGGCTCGAGCAGCAAGAAGTTCCCTGACTGCCAACCAAGGCACACACGCCCATTGAATGCATCATGAGTTGGGCTGTTGTTGATCCACCTCCCTTCTCTCCACTCTCCCCTGCCCTCCCCTGGCCTTCCCTTCGTCCCCCCCCCTCCCCGCTTGTGAGCTTCCCCCTTCCTTCCTTCATTCCCCTCCCCACTCACTTCCTCCTCGCGTGGTCCCTCGCTTCTGCCGCTTACCATGCCTGCCCGCACGAGGACCTCCAAGCTGCTGCCAGCTGCATCGTCGACCGCTGCCTGCGTTTGTTTCTTGCGCTTCGACGAGGGTGCCGCCGCTGCTGGCGCCGGCTTGATGGTGATGATGAGTTCTTTGCCGCGGCTTCGCGCCTGCAGTGAGAACGGCGAGAAGGGCACGGTGACACGCGGGTGCTTCGTCGGGTGGGTGGCGAGCGCGCTCATGGACACGTCCACGAAGGGACCAACACGCTCCTGGGCATTGTTGATGAACTCGGCCATGTACAACAGCTCAGGCCCTTCAGGCATCCTGCTCCGTGCTTCCTCTTCAGCGCGCGCGCGTTGTTGTACTGTGGTCGTGGATGCAGTGAGTTGCTGTAGCTTG